ATAAATGATTCATAATTCAAATTCTGCATTAAATATTATACCAAGGAAGGTATCAGACTACTCTTCATTCTATGATAAAAATCTGTTTATATTGTACTTTAAATTATTACAGTTCAATGAAATTGCTTTTTAAAGTAAAGCAAATCATAATTTAAGAAAGCATGTTCTTTGAAATGAAGACTGTGAATTGTGAAACAGTACAGTCTCCCCTAGCCATTTTAATGGCAGTTTTTCTGAAAGAAGTCTGCTGAATAATGCATATTTTAACAGAATGATAACTATTTTATTGCTCAGTTATGGCCTACTAACTTTATCTAGCTCATCTTCAACTTGACAGGAATTAAGATGAAGAACAGGAAACTCTTCTTCTTTCACTTTTTGAATGATGTCATAAACTAAATGATAATCTTCTGCAGTGACAGCTGAAAGGTTGATATGATGAGGAATAATATCCTGACTAATATTTCCCATTTTCAAAAATTTTATGATCATCTCCGAATTTCTGAAAAATAGAATAACATGAGTGAGCATTTAGGGTTCTCAGGTCTATACTTTGTATGCAGTCATGCTACTAAATGCAAATGCAAATGAAAATACATACTGTGCAATGCATTTCTCATTTATGACATTTGCTTTGAATCCTAGGACTGCAAATACCACCAATGTCGCCAGGACAGAAGTGAAAAAATTGATAAAGGACACCAAGACAGCATCAAAGTGGCAGTTGTTGTCTCTCTTGTTGTAGCTCGAAAAGGCAATGACACCACCAAAGCCCAGACCTAAGGCAAAGAACACCTGGGTAGCAGCTTCTCTCCACACCTTGGGCTCCAGCATCATTTCAAGCTGTTTAAAATTAAATATAATGAAGTCAGCTACAAAATAATATTTCAAAATAATTAATTTATATGTAACTATTCTATTGTTAAAATATATTATGATAATATTCATTCACCCAAAGAGATTATTTAACTCTGGGAGATAATCTACTCTTAGGGCAGAAATAACCATCTTTTTTTTATTTTATTTAGGAAAGAGATAAAGAATATGAATAAGACAGACTAGCAAGCCTTTACATGATTTTACTTACATGGAGATTTTCTGCTTATATAGGAATTCTAAAATATTTTAAGACAAATCACAGGACTATATGAAAGAAAAATTATCTCCAATTATTCCCCATTATGCTTCTTTTCTTTTCAAAGCAAAATAAATCAATTATCAATAAAAGTTAAATAATTACTTCACTAACCCTCCAAGTTTTGTGTTTTCTGGTGGAAATCTAATGGTTGAAACCAGTAACAATTATAAATTTCATAGAGTTGAACTATTTGTACATTACATATTCGTGTATGTATTATTTATTTACTCAAGAGTTTCCTGAAAACCTTTTCCTTCCAAATAGAAATTCAACTACATCATCTTTAAGATACCCTTTCAGACCCAAGGTTCTAATGTTCTGAATCTGTGCTGAACACATATTTCAAGTAATTGTGCTTTACTTCTTAGATTATTATCACTGTATATAATCAAAACTTTTAAATGGAACAATTAATATTAGCCATATCCAATACTGACCTCCATAAACAGTGTTCAAATTAGTATTTATCTGTTTTTACCATTGCAATGAAGTTGCTCTCATTGGGACCAATGTCGAATGTGGTTAAGAACGAGTTCCAAAGAGAGTTTCAGATCCTAATTCTGCCAATGAATAATTTTAAAATAGCATAATTTAGGGTAAATGACAGGTTCTCTCTGATTTTTCACCTTCCTTAACAGCCAGATGAGAATAACAAGAAACATATTACTTACCAGAGTGCATACCACACTTTAAGTGCTCAATAATTGATAACATATATGAACTATAGTGGCAGACACACTGATAAGCAGTTTTCATGGCCTATTTCCCTTAATATTCACAACAGCCCATGAAGTCGTTGCTGCTATTATCTGAGTCTTAGAAAGTTTAAGTAATCTGCTCAAGGTTATACAGCAGTTCTGGGGTAGAACACAGATTCCAAAATCCATGCTCTCTTAAATATTAAGATGTATTATCAACTAACTTTAGTTATTATTATTGAAAATTATAAAATGTGCTCTTGAGACATAGTCATGATTATTTTTATAATTTATAAATAATTTACTAAAATATGCATATCGTTTATTGGCCATTGCTCCATTACCATTCTACGATTAATGTTGATCACTGAAATACACTCAACTGTCTATCTCTACTTTATCCACTAGATGGCAGAAAACACCTGTTTACTGAAGACATTCAGATTACTTCCAATATCCTAACTAAATTTCCATTTACTGTTTCAGGACTATTTCCTGTGCTTAGATACTTTCTCCTCTACATAAATAATGTAAATTAAAAAGTAATTTACAACTACTTACCATTTTCATACTAACTATACATCCTACAGTGATCTAAACATAGTGTTTTATCAAGAGGCAATGAAAAATGAGCTGAAGAAAAAATTAACAACATTTATTAGTGATCTCTAGTCCAGGTTAAAAATTGTTAACTTATGTTACAATTTTAAATACTGGATCAATATAAAAGTATTATATCAAAATATTTAAATTCTAAAATATCTACTTAAATCAAATGTTTAGAAGTGTGCCACAAGCAATTGCCAATTTAGAGGATCTATTCCAGCAATTCACACAGAATCTGGTTGTTTTAAATTTGAAAACATTTTTTTCCAATTTTTGGTCATTAAGTATGACTCATTTGGAGCAGATTTAAATCATAATGGGGCTGAAATTTATTAGTCTTAACTAGTTGTTCACGGAGAAGTTCTAACAACTCTAAATGTTAAACAGGACTTTTGAACTAGCCAAGAAAAGCAGACACCAATGTCAGCATTTTTGCTACTACAGAATGAATACCAACTCACAACCAGACACACAAAGAACACAGCTTCTTTTACACAGCATCAGGGCAGCTGCCAGGAGTGACAAAGAATTCCAGAGAAGCTAATCCCTTCTGCACAAATCTCACAGCACGATGCTAGCTGCACACTCAGCCTTCAGATAGCTTCCAATTTCTGAACTAATTTTGAAATTGTATCTTTGAACAGTAGTATCTTATGTCCATATCTGATAGTATTAGCAAGCTAATAGGGATGTGTAACTTGATTTAGGTGAATAACAAAAATATATTCACCCCCAAACTTATTTTGTTTCCTGTCAAATCAATGTAACAAGTTATAAGTCTACAAGGTATGATTAACTAGGTTCAATGTGCCCAGTATTGAATTCAGCTCTACTAAGATGAATGACAGAGTATAACTCCTAAGCCCTCTATGAAGCCTGAGAATTTTCCTGAAAGGCACATAAATCTATAAAAGTTATAGAACTTCCCAAATTGACCACTATAAATGTTATTCCAGAAGGTACAAAACCTCAAAACAAAACAAAAACAAGGAAACACTGATTTTCTCTGAGACAGTGTTTTAGAATACAGTAGGGTTCTTAACCTGGGTTCATGGATTTTAGGTGATCTGTCAACCTCCTGAGACTCTAAGCAAATTAGTATGCTTAAAGTTCTTTCTGGTAAGATCTTACAGTTGGTTTTCAAAAGTTGACACAAAATGGTTAAGAACCACCAGAAGAGAGAGGAAAAAGTAAATGAAAATTTAAAAGTTCAAAATTTATCACTGTAAAACGTGGAAGTTAATTTATTATAAAAGAGAGATTTTTGAAGTTTAAATACTGATAGCCTTACTCCGAACTAAAATGGGACACTTAAAATTGGAGACAAATGGATGTAATTATAGATATATGAAAGCTCTGCTTTTTTCCCTAGGCCAGTTAAAGTACAACTATAATTTAAAAGTCTAATGTACAAACGTTAGGACAATTAGCCCTTAAGTCTAACTGTGGGAACATTTCAGTAATAAATGTAATGCTTTCATGATCATAAGCCTCACATAAAAATACGGTACATACCTTAGGGGTAAACATATGGCGGATGCCATCAAGCGAACCATTTAAAAGGAATGCTCTGATTAGGAAGCATATAAGTACCACATATGGAAACAGAGAACTAAAATACATAATCTGCAAAGAAAGAAAAATTAAAAATAGGTGAAACACACTAACAACTATATTCTTTATTTATAGTTAAGCTTGCATGTGTTTTGTTCTATAAATTGACAGTTCTATAAATTACAGTATGATTAATAAATACTATCAATTACTTCTAAAGCTATCTTTTAAGAATGGTTTATTAGTCTTGAATCAGTCTTATTTAAGTTACTATTACAGATATAATGAAATTTTTTTTTTAAAAAAACCAAACTTTAATCTCTTTTGAAATAGTCCATAGGTATGGTATAACTTGAATAGTATCGATTCTTCACTGTTCATAAAACAAGCAATATTTAAGCCAGAAACTAATAAGCACTATCTCCCTAAAAAATTCCCACTTTTAAGTAGAAAAAAAAAAAAGGACAAAATTTTTTTCTTTTAACCACAGTTCCATTATGATTCTGTAAAGCTTCCAAAATAGAGAGCACCAGAAACTAATAAGCACTATCTCCCTAAAAAATTCCCACTTTTAAGTAGAAAAAAAAAAAAAGGACAAAATTTTTTTCTTTTAACCACAGTTCCATTATGATTCTGTAAAGCTTCCAAAATAGAGAGCAGTCCCTAAGCTAAGTCTCCTCTAGAACCTGAACAGTTAACCATGTAAAGGTTTCATCTTCTGCTTCAGAACTTTTTGCTATGAAATTAAACAGGTCAGCAAATATTTATTATAGAAAAGGAACTGTCTTACCCAGACACCTAGCCACGTGGAGGCTAAAAGGTCTCGGAAATTTTTCAGGTCCAGAAGCGAACTTCTGAATTTCCCCTAAAGCTGCTCCCAACCATCTCTATTTCAGAAAATGGCCCCCCATCCATCCAGTGGTGAAGTCAAATGTCCAGATGTAGTCCTGGACTATTTGTAATATTCTCCTAACTGGTTTCTAGGTTACCACTCAGATTATGTCATTCCCTACTTAAAACACTCCAGGAATTTCTAATAGCACTGGAATAAAATGCTAATTCCTCCCTCTGACCTGAGAAGCCTTACACTGGAAGGCTTGTCCGCCAGACCCAACACTCTCCCCTCTGCTGAGCTCTAGCCCCACCCCACCCCCAGGTTCTTGCAACCCTTGAGTGTACTAAGCTCAGTCAGCCTCGGGGTCACAGCAGGGATATGCCCTGGTCTAAAGCATGGCTCTCTCTCATCTGTAGGTGACAGGCTCCTCCTCATTGTTTAAGTCTCATCTTCATCTTCTCTCCAGGTCTTCCCTGACCATCTAAAATAAGGCTATCTAGGCTATCTATGCCTTTTCCCATTCTATAGCTTCCATCTGTCCTCCTGTATGCCCAAGAACCCATGATATTACCTGTTTGGTTTTTTTGTTTGTTTTGTTGTTGTGTTGACAGCACTTAGCATGTTGGAATTGTCTTAATGTATTTACTGTGAGGCCGAGGGCCTTTTCTCTCCTATTCACTATCGTACCCCAAACACCTTACACAGGTGCTGGCACACAGTAGCTATACAATATGTTTCTGTGAAAGAAAGGGAAGGAAGTGGGAAGAATGGAGGAAAAACAGCTATGGCCAGGCAGGTAAGAGATTGAATCCAAGAGTAATTACAAACAACCTATAATATAAGGCAATACAGTAACTTGCACTTCCTCTGTAGTTTTACCAACTTAATAGTCATATTTAAACATATGCAGAATGTCCTAAGAAAAAAGTAAATATTATAGATAAAATTTTAGCATACTTAAAAATCAATATTTTAATAAAAATAATTATATTTTAATTTAATTAGTTGTAAGGAAACTTAAATTTTCAATCATTCCAAATTGGCTTAATTCTTTAATTACATTCCTTCACCTACCTTTATTGATTTCTTTATCAGAATGCTTTCAGATACTTTTTTTTTTCATTCTCCCTGCCTATTTTTAGCATTCATTAAGTTTGTCAGTCACCTTGATCTCGCTTGAATTAAAGCTCTCTGTCCTTCTATGGTTCTTCTTCACAAATCTTGAGGTGAGCTAGAAGCATGCACTCGCTTTTGCAAAATAGCTTATTTTTTTATTTTAACAGAACTCAAATTTGCTGCTTTATAGTGATTTAATGACTTCCACTAATCCTACTTATTTTAAAGGGAAAAATGAAGGTTATGCACTGAAATATTCTGGAAGGGTTGATTATGATTTTTTCCAGTAAAAATATACTTTTTACTTTATACTTTATTTTTTACTTTTATTTCATATTTTAGTATAATTTTAAATTAGGCACTGACAGAAGAAAATTTCTTTCTGTACTTATATTTTTCCAGACTGAACAACTCTAACACATCCTTCATTTGTCTCTCTTCCCTGTGTCCAATAACTAACTGATCACCGAGTCCAATTGATTCTATCATAGAAATCTCACATCTGTCCCTTTGTTTCCATCCTCAATGGCATCATCTTTCACTATGACAACTTTCCTGCTCATCTTGCCTCCAATTCTCTCTGTCAGCTCTTCCCGGCAACCCAGAAATCCTACGTCCACACTACTGCGAGAGTGATCTTTCTAAAGATCTGATGGTGTCCCAAACTACAAAAAAATCCTCATATGTTCTGTACTGCTTGCCAGGTAACAGCCCAACCAGATCCTTCTGCAATCAACATGCTTTTCATGCTTCATCTCCCACAAGCTGCATAAATTGTATGTAAAGGTCACACAGGAGTCCTCGGCAATCATTGAAGCTTTACACATGCTGTTTTCCATACCTACAATGTTCTCTTTCTCTGAACTCTCTGGTGAACTCCTCTTCAACCATCAAACCCTATCCCCAAAGGTACCTCCTTTGTGAAGACTTCCTCCAAATCCAGGCTCATTTCCATGGCTGCCTGGATGCTGTCACGTACTTCCCATATGCCTCTATTACTACACTTACTATATATATATAGATATATATTTTTTAAAGATGACCGGTAAGGGGATCTTAACCCTTGACTTGGTGTTGTCAGCACCACGCTCAGCCAGTGAGCGAACCGGCCATCCCTATATGGGATCCAAACCCGGGGCCTTGGTGTTATCAGCACCGCACTCTCCCGAGTGAGCCACTGGGCCAGCCCTACACTTACTATATTTTTAATCATCTGTCTCACCTATTAAATTGTGGGTTCCATGAGGACAAGGACTGTGGCCTAATAATTCTTGCATATCCATCAATTCCTGACACACAGTAGATACTCAAAAATATTGCACATTAAAGACAGGATTTATAGAAAGTTTTCCTCCTGTATATATTTCCTGAAAAAAAAAATCTTTATTCTGCAGTGTTTTTTAAATTATATGCTAATTATGTAATCAGACTTATGTCAAGTTTCACATCTAAATTCAACAAATATTTGAGTTCTTAAAGATGCTGAACTGAATTGAGTGATGAGATTCTAATACAGCTTCCTAAAAAGGAAGAGGGACATTTCAATTATGTAACATGGAGAAAAACAACAGTGAAGATTTTAAACAGTTAAATGGTATTAAATAGGTCACGCCCCAATACTATTCTTCTCTGAGCAGATATAATAATAATAATAATAATAATAATAATAATAATAACAACAATAATAATAATAATAATAATTAAATTCTGAGATGAAAAACATGTATCTTAAGTCAGCACTTTACAGAGGCATCCATGTTGTTTTTAAACAAATTTTTTGCATTTAATTATATGGCTCTAATCTTAGTATAACTAAATAGTGCATTGCATAATACAATTAAAAATAGGTTAAATTTAACCTAACTGGCTATATATGCCCCAAACACTTTCTCCTTACCATACTTTTCTGTTGCTACCTGAAATTATTTTATGAATTTGTTTATTGTTTGTCTGGCTCTACCATTAAAATGGAAACTCCGTGAGTACAGGCATATTGTCTGCCTTGTTCACTGTTGTATTTCCAGAGTTAGATCAGCGCCTGGTACACAGTAAGTGTTCAGTAAATATTTCTTAAATAAATTAATTAATGGCTGAATGACCCTTACATTGCCCGAAAAATACACATTTTTAGAACTAGAAAATGAAACAATGCAATATGTCCTTTGGCTAATTTTAAGACCCCCAGGTCTTACATATAACTAAATGCCTTTCACAGCAAGTACATTAAGTGAGACATTAGTTTTTTTTTAATCAATCAAAACATTGTATAAAAATATTTTCATTTTATTGAACTATTTAAAAAGCAGTAAACATATAATAAATCATTTAGTTTGCTTTTCCTTACATATTAAAATATTTATTATAAACACACCTTCAGATAGAGTCATTGTTTTTGAGGATTTTGCAGCCCAGTTTTAGCTGTCTGTCATTTATCAGTTGTTTAATTCTGGCCAATTATTTACTCTTCCTAAGCTTGTCAACTTTGCAATAAAATGGAGATAAGAACACACAAATCATCTGGGTGACAGAAAGATTAAATAAGCTAATGCATGTAAAGTACTTAGCATGGTAGTGGTAATAAGAGCAAAGTAGTACTAGTAGAAAATACTACCTTAAAGTTAGAAGAAAGCTGAGAGCCTCTCATTTCTATCCTTCATCTTTTGGGGCAGCCATCCTCTTACTAAATGCTGGATCAAGGGGTCTTGCATCCTTTGTCTGACAACCCCCAATGATGCTGAGCTCTCTACCACTGAGGCAATTAATCTCATTCTTACCAGCCTTGATTCCTGAAAAGTCTTTTGTCCTTTGAAGATTTTCCACCCTTCCACCACCCACCATGATCCCCAGTATCCTATCATAGTGCTGTTCTATGTGGCCACGCAGAACCGCCTTACTCTTCCTTTGATTCAACTATGTGAAGATTGTGATCAAAGGGCTGAGGTTTCTCTTCTGCATAATAGAGGGGAAAATAGATTTCAGTAAAATCCGGTATTGCAGATGTAGTTCAACTGAGGTGTGTTTACCTGGGCTAAAGGATGGTGACACTATCATAACCCTCTTTTAATTCATGCAGTTTCCAATTAGCATTTTGGGGTGTGTGTGTGTATGTGCTTGTGTGATTGTGTGTGTGTTTTGACCAAGTACATCATAATTTAACACAAATTATTCTATTAGCTGCTAAATCCTCTAAGTTGTTTTTACACATACTATATTTATTTGGAGGCATTTTTTGTTTAGTAGACAAACACAAAACTTTACATTGATTCTTCATAAATTTCCTCTTATTATATATAGCTGACTGTTTCAGACTGAGGAATTATGACAATTAAGACTTCTGTATCTTTGCTCATGTTACTTACAGCTAGTTTTCCCTCAGTCTGTACCTACTGAATGCTTTCTTTGAACTGTACCCAAATGCTACTCTCTCCCTGAAGTCTTCTCACTTAAACAGTAAATTTATGTATTATGTAAGTTGTATTACATTTTTCTTGAAAAAATTATATAACCTGATATAAGAAAACCCAAAAATGTTGCGATAAGGAAAGGATGAACAGTTCTTTAAATGACAATAAGACACAGCCTAAGAAGAAACAAAATGTAGTAGTAAGAGAACTTGAGTCCAAGGGTTTTTTAACTTCTGTGGTTGACCACAGTTGATAATGTACCAAATGACATTTTCTTAGGAATCATAAAAATTTGGCTAGATCTGGCTTAAGAATCTATTCCTTTATTTGTAATGCGACTATTATGTGGCTCTGACATTGTAGAAGACGTGCTCAATTGAACCAATTGATTGAAATTATTTAGTCATACAATACAGTAATATTTGTGAGAGAGTTAAATAGATACAGATGTGTTATCTATTATATTCAGTTCTTCAGAGACAACAATGACACAGAGTTTCTAGCAGAAAGGTAAATGTAAAATCAGCTAAGATTTACGAGTTAAAAAGTCATCAAGGGCTGGCTGGTTGGCTCAGTTGTTTAGAGCTCAGTTGGTTATCAACTGTGGTCAGCCCCAGAAGTTAAAAAGCCCTCGGACTCAAGTTCTTTTACTTGAAAACACCAAGCTCAAGGGTTTGGATCCCTGTACCTGCCTGCCAGCTGTCAAAAAAAAATAAAAATAAAAAGTAGTCAAATATTTTTAATTAGATACAAAGTAATAGGAAGCAAAGATGAATTAGATAGACTTCTGCCTTCAAAGAGGTCACTATTTGGCGGGTACAAATGTGATGGTGAGAGACGTTATAGTGCTGCAATTAAAGAACCTGGGCTCTCGAGGTCACTATTTGGCGGGTACAAATGTGATGGTGAGAGACGTTATAGTGCTGCAATTAAAGACAGACCTGGGCTCTCAATTTAGACAGACCTGAGTTTGACTCCAAATATCAGGACTTACTAGCCATGCAACTTTGGGCCAGTTGACTAATTTCTCAAACCTGTTTCTCAATCTGTAAAATGGGCCTGAAAGCAGCAATTACTTCTCAGAGATATTTTTAGAACTAAACAGGATAAAGTATATAAACTACTTATCGCAGTGCCCAGAGTAAAATAAACATGCAATAAATATTGGCTTCTATTATTTTTCTTGCTCTAATCATTGTCAGAATCATCTTCACCATAATTTATTATTTTTTTGTTTTGTTTCTGTGGCAGCTGGCTGGTACAGGGATTGAACCCTGGACCTTAGTGTTATTAGCATTTAACCAACTGAGCTAACCAGCCAGCTTACCATCATTTATTATTAATATTTGTACCACAACTACTACTACTATTCTCTCTCCTGCTCGTAAGTGATGGTGGGTGGTAAGAAGTTAGCCTACAAATATATATGATCAGAGTTATGCTTTGGAAAGAAAAATAATAGAGATGAACTATTAAGGACAGAGAGAAGAGCCAGCCATAAATTCTTGCTATGCTTTAGAACAAAGGCAGTGGTGATGGAAAAAAAGTAAAAAAGCAATTACTTTCCAAATGAGTCCTTTATTAAAAAAAGAAATAAAGAAATGAAGGTATCTAGAATTATCTTAATGTCTTTTTCAACTACAGCCTTTTTAACTTTTCAATTTGCCCTGGAAGGCATACTCTTTAGTCTTTCACATTACTCTGAATTCCTTGTTGGGATTAGTATATCTACCTAATGACATTCAGAGCTTTAAGAAACACTCCATGCTACACTATTTTAAAATTCTTTATGCAACTGTTCCTTAGAATACCTACAGCAGAGAGAAATTAATGCTATAAAACAAAGTAAATAAATTCTTCATTCTACCACTTTCCCCGATTTCCATGATTAGAACTAATTGGTAATCAGAGAACTAAAACATTAAAGTCAACTGAATAAATAGTAAAAAGAAAGGACTTTTAAGTATTAACAAAAATTTAAAAGATCTCCTTAAAATAAAGATTATAAATAACATTAGATTTCACTACAAAAATCCTTATATCTTTATTTGTGTCCTTTCCGTAATTTACACACATTTTTAAAGCATGACTTTTTACCAACTTTTAATTAACTCCTTAGACTGAGTGTACCCAGGAATGGTGATTAGCAGAATGAGAGGCTCTAAAATACTAACTTTTCCAGAAGACTGAATTCCTTTGATCATAGCCAAGCAAACCATGACCCAAGCAGCCAGCAAACAGACAGTCATCTTCCAGTTTAAGCCACCACTTTCAGAAATGGAACTGGAAATATTCAGTGCTTCTCTGTACCAGTAATAGGTGGTGGCAGAACTTTTTTCACATTCTGGCTCTACATCTGTAAAAAGAAAGGTAACACACAATCATTTCAGGCTATAAAAAGTAATGAGAAATATTTTTCCAGTAAACCTGTGAATCAGTTCTTAATGTTTCCTAGAAAAGTACTATCATTCTATAGCAGCATTTAAATTCACAATGAAGAATAAAAAAATTCTACTGTGCAAAAAATGTGAAAAAACAAGACATATATCCTCTTTAATATTTCTTATTATGTATGGCTCTAAAAGAAGAATATGTGAGCTTCTTATCGAAGTAATTAAAACAAATCAGGTGCACTTCCCCTCCCAACCCCAGAATTATCTGACTCCCTGAGCAGCACTGTCAAATATGCTAGCTGCTGGCTACATGCAATTTTGAAATGGGGTTAGTCTAAAGTGATGTGTGCTTTAAATGTAAGATTCATACTGGATTTCAGATTTAGTACAAGAAAAATAATGTAAGTTGTTACATTAATGTTTATACTAATTATATATTGAAATTATAATATTTTGTATATGCTGGATTAAATCAAATATTATACCTATATCTTTCTACTTTTCTTAAACATGGTTACTATAAAATTTTAAACTACATATGTGAGTTACATTCTATGTTTACTGGACATAGCTGCTATAGGGAATTATTCTTTACTTATATTCTAGGATTTATTTTCTAGGATTTTCAAAATTACGGGAAAACTATGAAACAACAAAACTAACATAACAGCAAATATTTTCATTCAAATTCTTTTTTTGTCCCCTCTTTGTTGGTTTCGATGAAAACGTAAGGCATCAATAGGATGTATAAAGGAAGACTGCCAAGGTTAACAACTGAAGGCTTACAATATTTTACCCTAATGTCATGGGGCATTTTACCCTACATGCCTTGGAAAGAGCTCGTGTAATTAGATAGAGCCAAAGTCTTTCTTTCAGAGTATGCCAATCCTAAAAGTAAGGCAAGTCTGTTATGATAATAATTTTGAAAGATTTTTCCACATTATTTTAAGAAAGAAAAATATTGAGAGCTTGTGCCTTTACCAGTCTTTCTTTTTTTTTTGGCAGTTGACCAGCACAGGTATCCAAACCTTTGACCTTTGGTGTTATAACACTGTGCTATAAGCAACTGAACTAAACAGCCAGCCCACAATCTTACCATATTCACATAAAAAAACATTACATTGTACATTTCTTACAAGTGTGTGAAGCATTTTTCACCAAAGGACACTGATCCCACGGTAAAGGCTGCTGAAAAGACTGAGAAAAATAAAACAAACTCCAGCCAATAATGACGTTGTAGTAGAGGGCCACAAAATAGCACACCTGCAAAAGAAAATAATGTGATTACATTCACCCTCTCATGACTCTTCCTTTAAAACAATGAGATTACATTCACCCTCTCATGACTCTTCCTTTAAAACAATGAGATTACATTCACCCTCTCATGACTCTTCCTTTAAAACAATGAGATTACATTCACCCTCTCATGACTCTTCCTTTAAAACAATGAAATGAAATGCATAAAATTCTATTTAAGGTTTTTAAAATCATCCTCATTTTATTTATTTGAAGGACATTATCTTTCCTAAAAAGTTAATGTCTCTCATAGGCCTTAGAGCATGCATTAACAAGATTTAGCCATATCAATATTCACAGCTTGTTTTGTGTAATAATTCATACTCCAGTAGTGTTTTTAAAAACATGTTGAAAGAACTGTGTGGAAATGCACACTCAGCGGTTTCATTTAAATGTGAATTTTTGTAATTCCAAACTCTGTAAAGATTAGCACACATCACACCAGGAAACTTACTACACAACTTGCAAATCCAATCCCGCCCAGCTTAGGGCTTATGTAATTCCATACACCAATACTGCCTCGCCGAATTCTTTGACCCACAGAAAGTTCCAGGAAAAAAAGGGGAATACCTATTACCAGAAGTAGTATTAAATATGGTAAAAGATATGCACCTACAAAGACAAGAACAAATAAAATAGATTATACTTTTCAATAGTCACAGTAGAGAATACACCACTAATTCTGATTATCTCATGAAAGACAATACTTGAATTTCTATATAGTCTAATTGTAGAAGACTCTGAAGAAAATACAATTTCATTATTTTTCATTATTTTATTTTATTTTTTTAAAATTTTTGTCCTTTTTGAGACCGGCCATACTGCGCTCAGCTAGTGAGCGCTGTGAGCGCACCAGTCATCCCTATATAGGATCCGAACCCGCGGTGGTCATCGCTATATAGGATCCGAACCCACGGCGGTAGCGCTGCTGCGCTCCCAGCGCCGCACTCTCCCGTGTGCGCCGCGGGCCTGACCCACAATTTCATTATTTTAAACTGTCTAGATTTTGAAACATGAATTCTACTGCTACAAAGAATTTCTGATAAAAAAAGTTATTATGATAAAAGTAAGGATATTGATGAATAGTTTTAGTTTCATTTTATTGCAAGGGTATAAGCTTAATTTTTCATAAAAATAATTAATTCTTTAAAATCAATTGTTTTCTGGAGTAATTTTCACAAACTCCATGAAATCATATTTGCACAATGTTTATAAAGTCATTTATTATGTTTTACCCAAAATAATTTAAATCATGCATTCCAAATCTGACAAGTTAGGGTGAACAAGAGTTTGTGGTATTAAAACTGACTTTTTTTCCTAAATAAAATAACATCATGGAAGAAGAAATAGCTGCCTAGAGATTGAAAAAAAAAAAAAAAAGGCAAAATAACTTCTATCAGAGACAGATGTCATTTTTTCCCATATATACTACATATAAAAAGTGTACTTCAGGAAACAATATTTTGTTTTCAAAAATTCTGAGGGCCGGCCTGTGGCTCACTCGGTAGAGTGCGGTGCTGATAACACCAAGGCCACGGGTTCGGATCCTATATAGGGATGGCCGGTTTGCTCACTGGCTGAGCGTGGTGCTGACAACACCAAGCCAAGGGTTGAGATCCCCTTACCGGTCATCTTTTTTAAAAAAAAAAAAAAAAAATTCTGAGAAGGGGTTATGAGAGTAATTGAGAAACTAAAACATCTAAGGTACATTGTAAAAATGTACATGAAATTATCCTTGTAGTGAAATTTCCAAATTAAAAAAAAATGTTTTCCAGCTAAACCACAAGTGAAGACATATTAACAGTAATTTAAGGGGCCGGCCCGTGGCTCACTCGGGAGAGTGTGGTGCTGATAACACCAAGGCCGCGGGTTCGGATCCCATATGGGGATGGCTGGTTGCTCACTTTGGTGAGCGTGGTGCTGACAACACCAATCCAAGGGTTAAGATCCCCTTACCAGTCATCTTTAAAAAAAAAAACAACAACAGTAATTTAAAAAATACTAAATATTTTGACAATGTTAATATTACATCTATTGATTGGATAAAAAATGTTAAATGTAAAACATTAACTCATTTCTACATGAGAATATATGCAAATTATTATTAAATAACCTTTAAGCTGGACTTTCTACATTCAAATTTCTAATCTAGAGTTTTGTCCAGCTAGTTACGGTTAAGTGTAATAGTCATGCAATGGAAGGTACCAATTCCCATTTTTAAGAAAAGGCCATTCATTATATTTTTCCTATTTAAAAAATGTGGTTAATGTAACTGAATATATTTGGGAAACTAATCAAATTGTTCTGGTGGCTGTTCAGCTGAAGAAGTAAATAGTAATAGATTTTTTTTTTCAAATTATTTATAGTAGGATCTATAAATCTCTATAATAATGACTCTAGTTCCCCTAAGTTAGTGATCAGTACATAATCTACCTTCCTGCTATGGGTTGGATATATCCCCCGAAAGTTCATGTATTGGGAACTTGGCCCCCATTGTAACAGTGTTAAGAGGCTGGGAGATCTGATTATGGCATTTAAAAGTAGGGGACTTTAGGAGATTATTGTATTATGAGGACCCTACCCTCATGAATAGATTAAACCATTAATGGGTTAAAGGCTTAATAGCTTATAAGGGAGTCATTCTGATGCCTTTGTAAGGAGAGCAGGTGAGCAAGTCATTTCTTTTGCTTACACTATGCTCACCATGTAATGCCGTGGTCGCCAACGGACTCTGCAGCATTGTCCCACTAAGAAGAAAGCCCTGAGCAGATGTGCCCCTGGACCTTGGACTCCCCAGCCTCCAAAACTGTAAGAAATAAATCTTATTTCTTAATAAATTATTCAGTTTCAGGTATTCTGTTATAAGCAACAGAAAACAGACTAATACACTTCCTAGGACTGATTTTCAGTCTTTCAGATTTAGTTAATTTTACAAAGTGCTATGTGTTGTAAAGCATGGATGTATTATTTATAACAAAAACTTATCAAAATTCAAATTCTGCAATGATTAGTTACATTCAGACACTCCTGACCTAAAAGTGTTTCCCAAAGAACTGAACGTGAATTTTTACACCTGCATCATTGGGAATCTTTCCTCAGTTTTGTGTGAATGACATGCTATTGTATATTTAGCCTTTTCTTTCAACTCAAATTATTCTACCAGTAGCCCCCCTATTAAAAACAGTCATAGCTGGGCCGGCCTGTGGCTCACTCGGGAGAGTGCGGTGCTGATAACACCAATGCCCTGGGTTCGGATTCCATATAGGGATGGCCGGTTGGCTCACTGGGTGAGCGTGGTGCTGACAACGCCAAGTCAAGGGTTAGGATCCCCTTACTGGTCATCTTTAAAACAAACAAACAAACAAAAAAAAAAAACAGTCATAGCTAAACTATAATTGAGCATTTACTATTTGTCAGGCACGTTTCTAAGCACATTACACACAGTTATTTATCTCTTACAAGAACCCAGTGAGGTGTGTACAATTGCTTACCCCACTTTATAGATGTTGTAATTAAGCCTGAAGAAGTGAGGTAGCTTGCATAAGGTCACATAATTAGTATGTAAACAATCCAGGCTTCAAACAGTAAAACTGACTTCAAAACCTGCCCTAGCATGCTCTCTTTACAATACTACTAAAGCTTGACAATCGTGCTTTAAGTGTAATATCTTTAGACAAATCAATTTATATTGGTTCTATTACTTTTTTCCTATGATTCAGAAAGTGCATCATATGATTAATGAATAAAATTTTGGTAGCCTGAAGCTGTTTGTCTAAATAGCCAGAAAATATTCCTCAAATTCCTAGAAGGCTCAATGCTATACAGCATGTTGAGTACAACCTTTGGTACTTTAACAGCCATATTGAAAAGATAAAATCCAGTGATGTTTTATAACACATGCAGTATTTCTCTCTAGTATCAGTATTTAGAAGAGGGGAAACAATGCTAGAAAGAGTATTTTGACTTTTTTTACATATGGAAATAAGATGGAGGAGTTGTTTTTGCTTATAGCCAATTACTGAATACGAAATCTTGTAGAGCTTTCCACCAAGACAGAAAGAAACTGTGCTAAATGGAAGGCAATCTGACTTTTCAGCCAAGACATCCTTTCTTAACAGGATGGCCAGAAAGGTTTACAAGATGAGAGGATTCAAAATCAGAATTCATCTGCTGCTAGTCTTGGCAAATAGAATGATTTGTTAGAAACAAACAAACAAAAAAAATAGGATATTGCATAGTTGCTTATACTTGCTTTGATAAATAATTCGTACGTGATGTTACTGGCTAGCTGAGGAGCTTACAATTTCAGTACACTGATGGGTAGTACATTACTGACTTCGTGTATTGATTCTTACCTCTCAGGCAGATTTGTCAATGCCTGGTTGAATTAACTAAAAGATATCTTAAACATATTTTGTCACCATAACACCTTAGCTTTTATCTCCTAGTGGCTAAGAAAAATTTCACACATGAGTGGTTATATTATTTCATTTGATATAGGGTTTGTCGTTTACAACTACATTAAAAATAAAACTATTTTTTTGTCCAGTCAACAAAATCATCACAAACTGGGACCAAATACCAAAACAGTCCTTATTTTGTTTGTGTGCTGAAATGTATAACTTATGGAACATTTAGTTTTTAGCCACACTTTAACAGCTTTCATGTACATAGATAATAAATTTTAAACCAAATGTTCGTTTATTTAACATTGTTTCATTTTGGTGTACTTTAGAAGTAGTATTATACATGAACAACTTCCTCCTTTTCTATATTTTTAAGACAATTTTTGCTAAGTAAGCCTTGGTAATTACATGCACAAATACCAATAGCAAGAATACAATGATCTTGCAAATGTTTTTCTTTAAAATTAAATATGCTAATTTCTTTAGAGTTTTTTTAAAACTTAATATTGTCTCCAAATACTGTAGAATTGTAAACCAAATATGTAAGATATCTAAGGATGAAGAATGTCTGGAATTACACTAATTATCTGGTTACGTTCCTTCTACTGGAATCTAAAAGTTCTGGTCAGCATTTAAAAACCATAATCACTTAAAATTACATGTCATTTTTGCTTTTTTGATGAGTGAGGCAACTTAAAATTCAGACTATTAAGTCAAGGAGAGAAAAATTTCTTTTTCATCTTTCAACAGTATTGTCTTATATTTGAGGTTTTCGGTTATTCTTCAAAGGGAATAACTGAAAGGCACAAAGGATACATTTGTTAGAAAAGTTCCAGTCAGTAATTCAGAGAAGTTTATAGCATCCAGAAAAAGAATTTGAGAATGTGTTACCCTTAAGCAATCCTGGAGTATTTGCAGCAAGACAATCTGCTCCTATGGAAACCTAATCTGAAAACAGAGCTGGGCTCACTTCCCACAAAGGAGTCTCCCTAGCTTCACAATCTGGAATTCATAGTTTCAAAAATAATAAGGCTGCAGCAATAATAGGAGCTATTTAAGATAAACAATTGCAATTTACTACAGTAATTTATTAGTTTTTTTTTTTTTTTTTTTTTTTAAAGACAACTTACCACCCCCATTCTTCTGACATAAGTATGGGAATCGCCACACATTCCCTAAACCTACGGAAAATCCAACTTGAGCCAGGATGTATTGTAGTTTATTGTTCCAGGCTGGTCTTTCATCTTCAACTTCAGATCCTTCTTCAACATCTGTATCTTTGTCTTGGGCATCAACAATTAGTTCACTCTTCTTAAAGGCATCATCAGCTGAGTCTTCATTCGAAAGAAGGTCTTTGACAGACTCAATAACCTCATCGTCCAATTCTCTTTTTACCACCTTGCTATTTTTAGGCATTGGAAAGTACAGGAAGTATTATGTTTAAAATACTCCCTTATGACAAAGTGTTAATTCTTTTTTTATAAAAAGGTTATTGAATATTAAGTAAAGACTGAGAAGGATATCAAACGATCCTTGATTCAAGGTGTAAAGTCTTATGGATCCTAGATTTGTATGTCCAATATTCTGTAGGTACGTGAAAAATTATAGGTTGACCTGTGAAGACAGTTAAAGATGAAAAATATTAAAAAGCACTGAATCACCCATTATTGTTTATTTTTATGATGAAACTTCTTTCTACAGAGTATAAAACATATGATTTTCCTTGGCCTTTCAGAGCTTAATATTTCCAGAAGTGTAAGAATTGTAAAGCACATATTAGTTTCACACATTTCCTTTTAGCCAACTTCCTTCTTCCTGCAAAAATCTGCTTTGATCTCAGATATACCCCAATGCATAATGTGTATTCTTTTCATTAGAAATTAAAACTTTGTGACTCTTTTTCTTAATTCTTTATTTCTTCCTCCCTAACTAAAGTAGATCTTTTCTTATACATCCTTTATCTTTTTCTTCATAGAATTACATAAATGATTGCATGCCAAATCTGTAAATCTGTCTTAGACATAATCTCTCCTGTTCATATATTCATCCATTCACTCATTTTATATTGTGATGAGACCTTATAGGATACAATCATTAATGAGACAAACTCATACAGTGTCTGCTTCTAGGAAGCTTATACCTAACAGAGAGAAAGGAACATCTCAAATAATACACCAAAGTGTTCAGTGCAATACTACATTGTGGAACTTAAATGACCCAATATCATTGCAGTAGGAGAGATCAGGAATGTTGGATAGAAGTGACATTAGAGTTGACCAGAAATGGAGTGAGACCACACCAACATAGGGAACACTATAAGCAGAGGCAAGAAATGCTAAAAATTCATGATATAAGTGTGAATATTCTCTTAATTCAAGAAAACACTACCATCACTTTGGGATTTTTCCCTTTTTCTACTTGTATGTGACATGTCATATCCTTTTCTCTATTTAGACACAGAACATGTAAATGTACAGGCATGTTTACAGACCAATGACACTGTCTATTTTATAGAGTTACTAAACATGTGAGTGCTTCTCTTCAAAGCTGGCTAGGGAAGCTTTAGAAATGATAACTCCCAAACATTTTGCCATTCATTGCTGAGAAAAAAAATGGAATTCTTTGATATAACTGCTATTCTATTTTCATTAAAAGTTAATTGAAAAAAAGCTATCATACTTTAATCTATAATCTCAAAGAGCAAGGCAGAGTGCTGGGCAACTCAATGGAAAAAAAAAATTCTTTAACTTGACCATGTAACTGATTTGTTGCCTTCAAGTTTGGATGATGTTTAGTTGTTTCCAAAATTAAAATATATAACCTAAGAGCAAACACTTACTCATTTAGGATTTGGTGAAGGTTAAGAGGAAACTGTGAAGAAATTCTCAAAGAGAAGCATTCCCCAAAATATTTTGTGTGATAGATACATCTCTACAATAAGTGAAAAACTTCCCACGGTGAGTATTTTAAACAGGACAACAAGGTTTTGATATGAAAATAGCTCCTGAGATTTGGGATTGTCTATTGAATTTGCATTTTTTCCCCTAGAAATCAGTTGAATAAATGAATAAAGCCAACCACGAAAAATTGCAATAAGTTAATTTTCCAAATAATTTTTGCTGGAAGAAAACAACTGGCATATAAGAAATTGTGATTTGTGAGACACAAATCATCCAGATTAAAGGTCTATATTTATTGAATTATCAGAAAAGAAAAGGCTTTGGCAGAGCAACAAATGATTCATGGATAAGAGCATTAACTTTAGTCTGACAAACATTGAATGGTGTCCTGGTTCTATTATTAATTGCGTAACTACTGGTAGTTATATCTCTCTCAACCTCAGTTTCCTCAATAAACACTGGTCTCTTATTCCTTTTGCTTCTTTCCATATGAATAGAAAGGCAAGAAATGCCCAAGTTTAGAGATACTATAATGGTAATGCAATAGTTTGAATTATGTCCCCCCAAAACTCACTGAAGCTTAAATTGTGTCCCCCAAGTTTTATGTATTAGAAACTTAACCCCCACTGTGACTGTTAAGAGGGTGGGAAATCCTATGATGGTAATTGAAAGGTGGAGCCTTAAAGAGGTGATTGGACTGTAGGACCATGCAGTAGTGAATGGATTAAAAATGGTGGTCAGGGTGTGGTTCTGAGGGCTTTAAATGAAGAGGAGAGTCTGTCTCTCTCTCTGATCTCTCTGCTTCCACTATCTTGGAATGTGAGAACCTAGGTCACTGTCAGCACCACCAAAAGGACTTCGGACTTCCCAGCCTCAGAAACTATAAGAAATAAATTTCATTTTCTTTTTAAATCATCTAGTTCCATGTATTCTTCTATAAGCAACAAAAACAGACTAATACAAGTAAAAACACCCAACATTTTATAAAGAAAAATTTTAAAAGATAGTGTTAATCATAAACCTCCCCCAAATTAATCATCACAGAAATTGTTATATTTCTTCTACACATTACAGCTCTTTGCAGGAAAAAATAGTCCAAAAAAATCACAATGAAGGAGCCGGCCTGTGGCTCACTCGGGAGAATGCGGTGCTGATAACACTAAGGCCATGGGTTCAGATCCCATATAGGGATGGCCGGTTTGCTCACTGGGTGAGCGTGGTGCTGACAACACCAAGTCAAGGGTTAACATCCCCTTACCGGTCATCTTAAAAAAAAAAAAGTCAAAATGAAAAATAACATCTTCAGATACTACTGAATTTTTTTTACATATCAAGTGAATAATCATCATCAATTTACGTAAGATACTCTTAAGTGAAGTTTACATTTACAAATTCTGATCAGACTACCTGAGGGTTATATTTTCTATTAAGAAAAACCAGTATTGAATGTAAACAAAATTTAAATGCAACATTATATTATAAATACTCTAAATATATATGAATACATACACTTATATTACATAATGCAACAACCCTAGGCAAACTTCATAAAATTAAAATAGACATATTCAAAAGGGACATTAAACATGTATTTCCATGCATTTACAGCTCCTTTTCTATTATAAGGAAAAAATTTTTTAAAGTGATGAAACATTCATTATACTACAAGTAAGATAATTTAAACTCCCTTTTCTTACTCTGTTTATTACAATCTCTCACATCCTGCTCTTGTCTGGGGTGGCTGTAGGAAGACATGGGGAGGTATTGAAATTAACACTGAAATTACAACAATGCGTAAGGGGGAAGAGGTGGAAAGAGTTATTGCCTGGATAATGACTTTGTTTATCTTACTTATCCTCATATTCTCGATCTTTAAACTTTTCTATCAAATGAATGAATTGAAAGAAGTATGAAAGAATATCATAACTAAACAAGTATTTGCACTATTACATGTTTTTGCTTTTGTTTGTATTTTTACCCCAAAACCCTATACCCACTGAATAACAACATTTGTTTCTTGTACATAGGTTTCATATAGCCAAAAATAAAAAAATGTAAATTGAGTTTCTGAACAGATTTGTAAAAGCTAAGTATAGAGACAACAATTTGGAAGCCAAATCAACTTCAAATGTTCAAGATCTGACTTTTTTGAAGAATAAAAATTGTTATGAATTCTAAAAGCTTGCCTGAAGAACTTTGTCCATCAATGTAGGCCGTAAACACAGACGAAAAAGAGAATAAGAAGGGAGGTTGACTATTACCAAAAGTATATTACAATTACTACATCTGGGAATAGAAAAAGAAATGAAGCAGGCATTTCCAGGAAGGAAGTGAGATAGAGGGTGATAAAGTATCAGTATTCAAGAGGTCACATGGACAAGTAACTATGCAGCCTCTGCCAAGTTAGCATCGTATAACTTCGTATAATGTATGCTATACGAGGGGGGGGGGGGGGGGGGGGAGCCATCACCTGCTGCACTTCATCTGCACCTAGGAATTGCATTAACTGTCCTCGTCATCATCTGGTAAGGGCCCCCTATCTAGAACTGAGCAACAGAGCAGGGGTTAACAAAATATTGCCCATGGGCCAAATACAGCCCACTGTCTTTATTCTGTAAATAACATTTTTTGGAACATATCCATGCCCATACATTTACATATTGTCTATGGCTAATTTTGTGCTACAGAAGCAGAGTTAATCTTATGCCAACCTGTCTTCCAGAGAATAAATCAGAATTGGAGATGTGAAGTACCCCAGCTCACTCCATTTATGCTCCATTTGTATGTCACTACGTTATTTACAAAAAAAAAAAAGGGCCAAGATATAATTCTCCCCATTCAAAGATGAATCATTACAAAGAATAAAAAAGTTTTGCATAAAAATGGGTATAAAGGGGTAGTAGTTGAGAGAGGAAGAAACATAAGCAAAAGACAAATGTAGAAAACAGGAAAGAGTGCTCCAGAGTTAAAAAGAGATCACTTATTCTTTTTAAAAAATCACGTAGAAGTGAAATAAAAGACTAGCTAGAAGAAAAAAGCTGGGTAGATGAATACAGGTAAAAAATGGGAGAATTCATCATAGAAATGAAAAGTCAATTAGAAACAACTAAAACTATAATAAATGCTACTGAAACTACATCCAGAGACATGAAGAACAGGCTTAAAGAAACTTCATAAAGAAAGAGAAAAGGAAAGAAAGAAAAAAAGAAAAGAATAAAATAGTTTAAAGTAATTTACAGAAAAAGCTAGTGGAAACTAAAGTCACATAAAAATGATCCAACAAACTTATAATTGGTATGCCCTAACAAGAGAACAGAATAAAACACAAAAAAATAATAAAAGATAGAATAACAGAGTCGTTACTTAAAGACTTGTACTTTGAAATAATAACATTACAGTAGAGTAAGCCTTGAAAAATTACTATGATAAAGAATTTCTGGGGATCTCAAGCAGAAGTATGAAGGGTAAATAAAAAAATCTTTTCAGAATTTTAATAACCTCTATAAAAACTAAGAGAAAAACTATGTAATCTCCAATTTTTTTTTTTTTCTGTCTTTTGTCTTTTTCCGTGTCCGGCAACGGATCGCAACCCTCAGTGTTGCCCCCGTACCGGACCGGGGACCGGCAA